TATTGGTTTGTGTGTGTGTCCCTGTTTGTATGTGTGTGTCTGTAACAGGGTGGCTGCAGCTCCCACTGGGAGCACAGGGAGGGGTTGAAAGATGGGGGAGGGAGCTTGTTTGGCTCTTTCTGTAGGAGGTGAAAGACTGTTCACTCTTTTACTCGTGTAATCAAACCCCTGAGAACGAGAAGTTGGCAACCAAAAGCTGCACTGAATGCATTGTTGATCAAAATTGATCAACATTTTTCTCAGGACAGATCACTGAGCTTGTGAAGGATGTCATGCTCAAACCTGTTGGCGGTCCCTTTAATCACACAAAACAGTGGGTCCTGAGCGATCGTTTGCTTGGCCACTACCCTGCTGTGTCGTCTTTTGGTATGGATGGGAAATGTTGAGATTGAGACAAGAATAAACCACCCATTTCCAAGAGGGAAGATTCTCTTGTTTACATTGCCAAAAATGTGTGCTTACACAGCCTTTAAGTAGGCTGCAGAACTTGAAGGACTCCAACTGTGTCTAATTCCATTTGGGTTGTCCAGATTGTCCAGTTCTTGCTTGTCCAGCTGTCCAGAAATATGCCTGTTTGAGCATGTTTGTCCATACATACACTGAAACGGTTGTGTTGCTAACCTGTTCTGCACATAATCACTGTTTACCGAAACTCAGCCGGTGGGTGGTAAGAAAGACCCCACAGTGAACAGCAGGTGCCACCCTTGGAGACACGCTGGCATGTGCCAATCACTCCCTGCACCGTGTGATTGATCACAGACCGATTTACTTAACATCGTCTCTTCTCCCTCAGAAATGGATAAAATATGGGAAGCTGCTACTGTTGTCAGTCGGTTTGCATTGAATTACAGCAATTTGTCTCGCTTACAATGCTCCTCTGTTAGCCCATTCATAGCAAAGTTTTTTGATGTGCTTGAATGACTCCCTGGATTCCTGGGAAACGTTCTGAGAAAGTTCGGCTGTGGGCCAAGGGACAAGTCATTAGATGCAGATCCAAGAATTTGTTTAAGGTCTTAGTCCTGTGAGATAGGCCATTTTATAAATTGTTTGCAATTTTAGCAGGAACTCCTTTTTCGTCTCAACTGAATTAAAAAAACAAAACAAAACAAAGAAACCTAACACACACATGGAGTTAGTTGAGGTGTTCAGAAGTTAAAATGTGTTGATTTTGATGCGGAAATATTGTTTAGATTTTAGAAAAGGATGAAAATAATCAATCACAATGTTACAGAGCCCACGATTATGTGTTTGTAATGCAATTTTTGTTGTTCAGAATCCAAAGAATAATAAACATTCGTGCTCGATACCTGATCTAAACATCAATGAGCCGTCAAAATGAATAGAATTGTTTATTTTTCAGTTTAATAAAACCTTCTAAACCCAAGCAATTCTCTGGGTGTTTCTTGCTCCTGTCACATTTTTTTTTAACTTACTGTGGGAGCATTTCCCATCGCAGTAGTTTAAATTGAAACAGCATCAAAGGACTGATGAAATAAGATTTTAAGCTTCGATTTGAGCAGGTTTTCTGACGGAGCAACATGTCCCTCATTAGTAGTTGTCAAAAAGTGAAAATTCCACCATTTCTGGCTCTGACAAATGGTAGACGCTAGTCTTTTAAACCTCCGAGCCGGTTTCTGGCTTCAGAGGGTTTAACTAACTGAGTAATCATTTTGACTACGGTTTGGATTTAGCTATTAAAATAATACAGTGCATTTGGTGGGTTGTGCAACTTTTTAATACTTTGTAATTTACAATTTTACTAGTCATGGGCAGCTGAGGCTCAGATGGTGGAGTGAGTTGTTCATTAATCACGGGGCTGGTGGTTTGATCCCTGGCATCGCCTCATGCCGAAGTGGGCAACACAGAGAACTCGTGATGGCAGAGCTACAGTAGACAATAACTTCTGTTTTTAAAATACATGAACTACTTGAAGTCATTTCAGAAACTGACGAGCCGTTTTTAACTTTTTTAATTTTATTGGAGTTCATGTGTGGTATTTAAATTTAACACTAATATTGACTGCGTTTGTAATCAAAATGAAATTATGGGTGCAATAAATGTTTGCCCAGCTTATTAGCAATGCAGCTGCAGTTGACATTGGTTCTGTGCCTCTGCTTCTGTTACACCCACTTGCTCCGGTTTGAGGATATTTGCCAAGTGGTTCGCAGAGGCCATAAAACTCCTCCAAAGCGTTTCATCCTGCGCAGGCTTTTGAAAAGCATTCACACAGTCCTGCCCGCCGCCTCCCCCTTCACTCAATTCACAATAACGTGACACTCTATCTCTTTTACTGGTTTCTCTGCCTTTAATGAAAATTGATAGCCTCGCACACATACACACACCTCAGCAGCCATTGATCGAGAGGCAATAAATGTTTTATAAGCCCAACTGTAAGGACACCCCTCTTTTATTCAGAAGGTGTCAGTGGCTTGGTCCAGAGGGAGGGATCGCTATGCTGTGCTACTCTTCAGGCCCCTGAATTAGTGAGAGAGTGATGCATTTTCTCTGTAGTGCACATTTACGCTATTCTCGATTACCAGTGCGAGTTGGAGGTGCGAGCTAATGCAGATCAGCTTGCAATGCAGGAATAAATCTGTCAACTCTCTGAAGTCCGACTTCTAGGATCAGGGATAGAATCGATAGGAAAAACTTCTGAATGAAAGTGAAAACAGCCTTTAACAGAGGATCGGTTATTCATCCATTACTTAAAGGATACAGACTCATTCCTCCCACCATTTCTTTCCAGACTGTTTTCCAATGTGTAGTCTGTTTGAATGATATTGTGTGGTTTCAGAACAATTGAGCTAAAAAAAAACACACACACACAATTGAAGTTCAAGCAAGTCTTATTGCAGCTTAAACCACAACTTTCCCTTGCTGGTGATGAAGACGGTGGCACCATTCCACAGGAAATGCCTTTTTAACACAGCAGGAAGGAGAAACTTCGCCCCCTCTATATCCCATGTCTTTGTTTTCATCTAATCGCATTAAGTGACTGGGCCAGTGTTTGTATTTGGCTTGTGTTCATGTCAGTGTGGGCTCAGGCCAGCGCTCGGTTCCTTTCTTACAATTTGAACTGGATTCCCCTGCAGAACGCCGGCGAGTCGGGGGTTAAGCTTAAAATTCTCTGAAGTCTTGCCGAAGAATTAGCATACCAAGGAATGAGAAAAATGTAATGAGCCTAACTGGATTTGACGTGTGTGGAGGCTAATGGTTAACAAGTCATGATGGATTTTCCCTTTGATTCGCTGGAGATGACTGGAGCGCTCACATACAGTTTCTATGAGAATGAAAGTGCTGTCATACGTGAACTTTGATGTCATAACGGAGTTTTAATGGCTTTGAGGATTGTCCTTTTATAGGTGGTACATCCATCCCAACAAAAATGTTAGAGCTAACCCTGAATGCTAACTAAGTCAATAACATTAAAAATTCAGGGCAAGTACACACAAAAAAACAACCTCAGGTAGTCTGACACTGGCAGTTCCCCTCATTAGGACTGTGCCTGTGCAGATTTGACTGAGTCACCAAACAACCCACCAGCAGTCATCGGATTCAAATGTTGCTGAGTTCTGATTGGTGTGTGGAAGTACGTGACGGCACAGTTTTCGAACTGAGCTCCGCCAACTTCAAACCAGATAGACAAGAGGAGAGAAAAACCTGAATGCTGAAATGTGTAATATGAAATAGCCAAACTATTCCTACTTTAGTTAAAAATAGCATACTTATGTAGACTGCCATCACTTATAATTAGAAAGCGACTCAGAAACTAAGTTTTCAGCACCTTTGAATAATGATTAATAATTGGTTTAAACCTTTATTTGTATTTTATCTGTGCTTTCATGTGGCAGCAGTTAAAAGCAGCTATTTAATGCAAGATATGTGCTTTGTATACTCATGTGGTCTTAGACTATTAACTTTAGCTCTGTAAAACATTAATTTTCTGGTTATGTGCTTACAGCTTGTCGAGGCAGCCCTCCGATACTCTTAATACACGCCGTCTAATCTTATTTGGCCAGCGCTGACTACGATATGGCACACACACACATAGAAGTATCCTTGCCTTTCCTTTTTTTATACAAACTGTCAGCAACAGATGCACAGACTGTCAGACAGGCATAAAAATATGGGTGACCACAGAACACACCCAGTGGGTCTTCGCTCATAACTTCATGCTCCACATTTTGTATGACTGCATCTGCTGAAGTCACATGTGGCTAAAAAGTCAAGCTTTTTTGCAATTTGAATGTCAGACTGAACCTAACCTCGTCCCATCCTGAAGAATGTTATTCGTGCGCCGTGGTCTGAAAGAGTTGGGGTGTCTTGCAGCTGACGGGTCTTTCAGAGATGCAGGGCGCAGGGCCATGTAGCTGCAGCTGCCCCCTCTCTGTGTGCTCTTTGATGGGGGGAGAAAGATGGCGTTTACTTCCACACCCACAGCTAGACACACACAAAAACACACACAAAGGTTCGTTTTTCCCCCTCTGTTGTCTCAACAGCACTTAATGGTCCATGGAGGGACACATGTCATGCATAGGAAGGGCATGTTTTGTGAGTTGGTCTATTGTAATGTACAGTGCATAACTCTACAACATCAGAGGACCTCATTGCAGTGCTGTTCAGTTCACAGTATATGAGTTGCATCCTTGTAGGTTCAGTAACTGCAGCAGTTTGTAGTGTAACGGTCAAAGTTATTCGTTATTGGAGCGCCACGTAGCAGCAAGGGGACACCCCTGATACGCCCTCATACACTACACAAATATAGCAATCCATTGTTTAGCCATCGTAACAGACTTGGTCTAGACCGTTACTCTGTTGATGGTGTGTTTACCTAGCAAAGATAGCTGTCCCACCTGTTCCTTATCTGTGCTCTGTGTACACACGTGTAGTTTTGTTTTGCAATGGGGTAAAGAAGCTTGTGAGTGAGAACAATGCACTGTTGTATTTTAAGGTTTGCTTAATGACTCCTTTTGTTTTCCCTTTCCATCATGTCCGTCCAGGTTTGGATGACAGCTTGCAGCAATACGTTAGCAACTTTGAACGGGAGAAGATCAGCGGAGAGCAGCTGCTGAAGATCACGCATCAAGACCTGGAGGAGCTCGGCGTGGCCAGGATTGGACACCAGGAACTCGTGCTGGAGGCCGTCGATCTTCTCTGTGCTCTGGTCAGTAGATCTGAATGTGGCTGATAATGCAAGAATACTAAGCGTAACTGCGAGAATAGACGTCTGGATGTCCACTAAGGTTTTGTAACTGTTGGTCACTGACCCTCCCCCTCTCGCTCTCAGTGTCCACATTCACTAAAAACTCAGCCTGTAGTTTCTGGTTCGGCAGCTAAAGGAAGCAGCGATGCAGAAGGGCTCATCATTTCCCACACAGCTCAGCAGGGTGTGGAGGCACCACAGCACACGAAGCAGCCCGGGGACATTGGGGAGCAGCAGTATCGCTCAGGGAAGGGGAGGATCAGGTCTGAGGGGCCTTGGGCTCTATTTGGCAGTTTGAAACTATAGGGAGATTATTGGAGGCAGTTATCATGTAGCGAGAAGTGGCAGTTTGATCTGTTGGATAGATAAGCTCTTGTTCTCTCCACTCTTCCTTGGAACACACAGAATACATACATGTGTTCGTTTTTTGATCTCAAAAATAATGACGGAAATATCAAAGAGTTGGTTTTAGTCTTACGGCTGCTTGCTTCTGCACACCTGCGCTTCTCTCTTGGTTCATGTCAAGATCCCATATTTGGCTCCTATTAGTCACTTTGGGAGACAGCTGACTTGCTCTCTATCATCGCAGCTCCCAGAAGAACTTCCAACCAAAATGCCTGCTTTCAAGCAGCCAGCACGAATAGAGTGATGAAAAGCATCTATGGTCCAACTGAAAGAGAACCAGGTTTTCCAGCAGATGGGATCGATTTAGAGTTTTATCACTTCCTGTGCCGTAAAAGTCCCATATTGTGGTCCCTGCGTTTTGATCAGTGTCAGCATTTCTGTCTTTATGCTCTCTTAAAACGCTTTACATTAATCGTTTGCGGCGTGTTTATTTTTACCCCGAAGAAACTTAAACGTTCAATCCTTCCTCTCTGTGTCCAAAAAAAAAAAAAGTTTCTTTGTCGTTCGTGTGTCCCATCACTTAGCTTGCTTCTGGTAATCGTTGCTTGGCTCCTTTGCGTCGGGATGAGGTCACATGAATTAACCTATTATAATGTATAGTGTGGAATGCAATAAGTAGCTTCAACCTTGAATCCAGTGCTGAAGGATGTCCTTTAATGACCAAGGCCCAGACAAACTGTGTACACGGTAACATTGTCAGGGACGTACAAATTTCATTCATTTCCTTTAATGCAGTTAAGCATCAAAGGGTAGAGATGCAAGATAAGCAACCTCTCCTCTATCAGTTTACAGTGTATGCTCTACCTGCAACCATTGGAGGGGACATATGGAAACACTTGGCACATAAATATATCGCTTTTTGTTTTGATAGATTTACTCATCATAGAATCTGTACCATATGGTGCAACCTTTGGGCCATAACCTCTTTTACTATCGCTGTAATCAGGCCCAGATTTTTGTTCACCCCTAGAACCTTTCGCATGAAGGCAGTGAAATCTCAAGTAGTGCTTTTCCAAATAAAACGTGCTATTAGTTTGTAATCCTGTGTATATGTGTGTGTTTGTATGCACTGTCCAGTCTTGTGCTATGTGGAGAGGAAGTATTTGACACGTTGTACAATCGCCCACCCCCGCCTTTTCTTTGGAACATTGGACCGGGAATTCTGGACTCTGAGCAGCCTTTCACCTCTGATTGAAGCAGTGCAGCTAAATGTTTTTTTTTTGTCCATTCGGGGTTTCCTTATTAAGAATGAGGTCTCAGCCTTCCACTGGTCCCATGGGAGGAAGTGAGGCCCCCGATTCAATTAGCTTTAACTGAGGCAAGGTCACTGCTACCAACAGGAACACAGGCCACCAGCACCCGAAACCCCCACATGCTCTCCCACTTCCCCTCAGTTTCCTTTTTTTTTTTTTTTTAAATTTACTGTTAGTTTAAAGATTAATCTGCTGTTGATTTTCTGATATTTAGAAACATATGGAGGATTTCACATATCACGTTACCTTTGTGTCGTTTAGCAGTTTTAACCCTAAATCACAATGATTGATGACCAAACATGCAGCCCCTTAACTCTTCAGAAAACACTCGTGCTTTTCTTTCAAGGGCTATCAAAAACAAACTGCTGTCCAGGGACAAAGAAAGAACATTTCAATTAATTTTACTGGACTTCTCTCAGCCTTGATGCCTTTTGCAGAGTCAGTGTTGAAACCCAACACTTCTTTATTTGCTCTCAGACCCCAGCGGCTTGCTCGAAGACCAGCACCTCACGATATTCGCTCACACATTTGCTGTATCCAATTGCCATTGAACATACAGTATAACAGATCAACTATCCTCATCATGGGCCACAGTGCTGCTGTAAATGTTTTTTACTGTTGCCTAGAGGTGCATCTGTCTGAAGCTATAACGTTACGCTTAACCTTACTTGGCACATTCCAGCAACATGTACACATTCTCCACGTCTGCGCTACAGACAATGATATCTTTTATAGTTGATCAATAATGCTTGCGGCGAAGGCAAGAAGCGCGGTGTTGTGATAGCTGTTCTCCATTGTTCCTGAGGACATACATCAGTAGATACAGTAATTGCTTGAAAGAGCCCCAGCTAGGGCTCACTGAGGGGGGAGAAAAAGGTTCTAACATCTTGATTTTAGATTAGCTGGGTGCCTCGAAAAAGACAGTGAAAGAACATAAATTTGGCTTGAAGTGTTGTTGTGAAAATGAAAAAACTGTATTTGATTGAAACCACAGATTTTGCTGGTTTTTAGCTCAGCTGGCAGTGTGGGACAAAAGCTCACTGGACATCTGTGGGCCAGTCAGAGCCACTGCGACTGTGTGATTAGCCTGCTAATGAAAAAGCCAGGAGAGGTGTTTGATTTGGAAAAAGCTCACACCGCCTTTTGTGCTAAAGTTCCACTTTGACCGAGTGAATGGCTGAATGAGAAACCAAACCATCGAATGGTCTCTTTTCTTTCTTTCATATATCCCCTGATCGTGTTTGCGTATCTTTAATCATGTTTCAACAATCCATTTCATGTCAACTGTGGCATGAATAAAGCTGTCCACAGCTACTGTTTGACTAGTCCAATGATTCCAGTGTTTCCTTGGGGACTGAAATGAGTGAAATCATGTGTATGTTTTTCGAACGCATGTTGGAGAACGGCAGTGGAATAAAAGGAGACACTAACCACTTGCAGATCCCCTTTGTTGGTTGCCAAACACGTGCTGTTTTACTCTTTGCAAAGCATATTTAGCTACTGGCACGTCACACATACAGCAGCACTGCTGGCAGCGATGCAACACCCTGTAAGCTGATATTTACCAGCACAACGGCCAGGCTATCCTTCCCCCTGCTTACCTATAGCAAACACATTATTCCAATTTTTCAATCACACCATTGCAAGACTTTAAAGCACGCATTCTAAAAAACTGTAGCAGCTTAGACCGCTGCTGTAGTTAATAGCTGTTGAGTCCTGTACTTAGTGACCCTTGTTGACTCCGAGCATGGCTGCTTTGTGCTTGTGAATAACTTATAAATCGGAGGAATGCAAGGGCAGGAAACACCCAGGCTCAAGAATGCAAACTTTGCTCCGCTTGATCGGAATCAGGTGATGGCACGTGCACACCCTTACTGCACGCCCTACAAGAAATCTGCACACTGGTGGGGGAATTGCATGCCTATGTTGTCCTCACGGAGAAGTGCACTTAAATCATATCTGTCAAAGAAATGATTGCAGCCATTCATTACACAGGAAGCGACTTGTTTTCCTGGGGGAAAAAAAGACTCCATTGTTTAAGCACTTACCTCCCAGGTCTAGACAGCGTTCAGGGTTGTTTGCTTTGATCTGGAGTGTGATTGTCATGAGTGTGCCTTTTCTTCTGTTTACTGCTTCAGAACTACGGAGTCGAGACCGACAACTTAAAGAACCTGGTTGTGAGGATGAGAGCCGCAACCAACAGTCTACACATGGCCACGGCCGACCGCAGAAAAAGCCCCGCGTACGATGGAAGCACCTCACGGAAGCCACCCAATGACTTCCTCACCTCTGTGGTGGAGCTGATCGGTGCGGCAAAGAGCCTCCTGGCTTGGCTCGATAGGTAATAACACTTGATTGCTACTGCTTATCAGATCAGATATCAGAAGGGCTGCAATTAGACCAGCACTTAGACGAGCTGCACAAAGGCAGATATCACACTAGTTTTATATAAAACATCATTTCCCAATATTTGACATATGACTTTTTTGCATTCATGAAATGTTTGATCTCAATTGCAGGCGGGGAATAAATCGTTCCTGGAGTGGTAGTGACGATCCAGTAGATACAGGCATTTTTAAAAACCGCCCTAACCAATGCATTTCAACTTGACACTGTGTACGGTTTTAAAACAGACACAGAACCCCCCCGTATGCTGACAGGAGCTGGCAGAGTACTCTGTGCTCTCCTGTTGACCTGCTCCAAAACACATTACGCCATAAAAGCAGAGCATATTAAGCAGGTTGCCAGGATTAAGTGTTAGCTGGCTGAAATTAAGCTTCTCTTTTTGTGGCGGGCTTGGCTTAAGCAGGTACAGTGATGTCATGATAGTCAGTAAACGGCTGTTATGAGAGCAGTAGTAGAGAGCAGAGTCGTTCTGTGAGTTGGAATCTAATTGATGACATGAATTTGCATGTTTTTATGTTGTTTTCTTTTAAAGAAATGTGACTCAAGGTTGCGTCAGCTCTCCTGTCAACACGTCAGAAGCCACCATTCATTTGTGGTTTCACACAGGATTCAAATCACAGTCTCCCAAGTGACAGTCCTCCATCTAAGCAGACTTTTATTTACTATTGATACTACCTCATCTGATTAGTAAAAAGCCTGTAACTGCTTAAAATCTACTGGCTTGAGTCTGAAAATAAAGCCAGCTGGAGGGGTAGAAGTCTAGCTTCTTTTCAGACCATTTGAATTAAAATATGCTGAAAGGTTATAATGGATTTGTTTGCCCCGCAAAAGCTGCGTACTGATACTGTTTAATCATTTTTCTCTTGTTTTAGTTTAAGTGTCAACACAGTGCTATTATCAAATGATGACTTATTTGTGCATCAACAGTTTTACTGCACATTGGTTCAACAAACAAATCTTATTACAATCAGTGTCAGGGGAGCTAATGGCGTCGGTTTGGGTAGTCAAACTACTGGAAAACATCTACTGAAGCATTTCAGACAAGTTAGACTATAAATAAATTTGCATACTATTCTGTTATCTTGTGTTGTCTAATCACACAACAAAACAGACAAGGTTAACTGTTACTCGTATTACTTGATAGCTCCAAGCCAGTTCTCTAGTTCTAGTCAGCCTCCAGTTTAGTTTTATTTTTTTCTTTCAGTAGTTACCTAATATAATTGGCCACGATGACGTATTTCAAGGAAAGCAAAGTGGTCTTAGGAGTTATTTTAGAAATTGTAAGTGTCTGTTTTAGTGAAGGGAGAAAAAATGGCACTGGAATAGTGACATTCTTCACTAAGTGTGTCTGTGGCTAGTCATCCAAACAGCAATCTGATCGAGTGTAACAAACTTCAACACGACTCCGCGGTCCATCAATTGTTTCTGACGTTCTCTTTTTCTTTCTCTGTCCGTTTGCAGGACGCCTCTTACAGGGATCAGTGACTTCACAGCCACCAAGAACAAGATCATTCAGCTGTGCCTGGAGCTCACCACCACAGTTCAACAGGTCTGCACGCTAGTTATTTTAACAGTACACGTGTAGCTAGCCCCCGGGAAGCACACGCACACACACACAATAGCTTTTTTCCACTGAGCACATACCGGCCCTGGGGCACAGACATGCAGGATAAAGTGCAGGAGAAGAGCGTTGTGGGAAATGTGGTCTGGCAGCCATGACATAAGCCTGAAGCCAGCAGTCTGAGCACATTATTGCAAATGCTGATGTTTTTCTTGGGATCTTTTCCTCCTCATGCTGGCTAATGAGGCGGCCCCCTTGGTGTGGGGACGTTTAATGGTAAACGTCGCTTTTGTGTTTCTAGTTTCATAAAAAACCCGCTGGCGTTCTTTTAAAGGTGGCTGCCAACATTCCCCAGGCTGCCGTGCTCCTTCAGCCATGTGGTTCCTGTTTTTGCTTTCTCCGAGATGCTCGCAGCGGGAGACCAAACTGTCTGCGAGCAGTTCCTGTGTGTAGGTTTAATGCAGAGACGACGAGCTGGTTCGTCTGACTGTCAGAAAGATGGCTAACCGATAAAACAGAGCATCAGCATACATCTTTCATATTCCACAGCTTTCTGCAGAGAGTTGCTCGAGCGTTGCATCATAGTACATTTAGCAGTCTGCGTCTGTTAGTTTCATGCAACTAGTAGTGGTTGGTCATACATATGTTTTGAACAAAGGGAGCTGGTGAGTGGCCTTTTCTTCACTATCAGTCTCATTAGCTTGTATGTACAATCTTTTAGCCCTTAAGGGTCTGTCTTAAGATTACCACGGTAAGAAACTCATTTTACACTAGCGGTGAAAGTGGCTGCTGTGACTGCAGGTGTCATTTTTTTAAGGGTTATTGCATCAAAATAAATTCCTTTCCCAGAGTGCCTATTTCCTCGCCAGAGTCTGGGATTTCAGCGCCTCTGGTGATTTACTGTGGGTGTCTCGGTCATGGTCATCCACAAGAAGTGGGGGTATACATTTCCCACACTGCCATGTGAAGCCGAGAGGTTATGGCACAGAATAAACTCCTGATAGGTGCTGAAAGAATTGAGCGATTAGCTTCCTTTCGTTGCTGGAGCAGGGATGCAGTTTGGTCTGTTAGTTTTAGAATCCTCCTTTATACGTTAGGGAGGATTGTTTCCAAGTCTTTCCATTATTTAAGCATCTAAACTTGCACACAGACTTAGAAGACTCCGGACTTTATAGCTCGTTTGTTTGGATCGTTTGGACTCTCTTTGTTTTTCCTAACGTGGGCCCGCATACGAACTACCGGTTAATAAAATATGTTGCACTGGAGACTGCTGCAGTGATTAGTTTTATGATGGGGGAGGACGGCGTGAGGTTTGCCCAGGCCGTTCATGAACTTCAGCCAAGAATTAGGGCTTTTCAGATCACACAATTTATGTGTTCAGCCTGAATGAAGCCTGTGTGTACACACACAATGGGGCACGGCCATAAAACTGTGAACGCATCACCCATCTTGGCTGACCCATCAGCGTGGAGGTCGTTCGCTTTCAAAGAACGCATTTTTCATCGATCCCCCGTGTCTTTTGTTCGTGCTTCCCACCCCTCAATTGTTGGATGACACACGAAGTTCATTCCTGTCTATTTTCGTAGTAAAATAGATTCCATTGTGTAGCTTAAAAAGTGAAATTTATCAGACGCATCCATCACATGAATATCAGTGTGTCACACAGCCGGGTCTGAAATATTGCAGTCCATGGCTTTTATTTCCTACTGGTGTAAAAGCAGTCCAGGTTCCTGCACTGTGCCAGAACCCTTCTCTCTCAGCCACTTCGTTGCTTGACCATGCAAATCCGCTCTGGTGGCAGATCAAAGGCCCAGAGAGCTGCACACATAGTCATCTGATCCACACTGGTTGTGGGATCAGGTCCATAATGTGAGGGATCAGTACACCGAGGGAATTGTCCCCCAGCCTCTCACAGTGCTCAGTTATGATCCGGCCCCCGTCTACTACGACCACTTCAGTTTTGACAAAGATATGGGATTACTTTGGATATCACAAACAGACCTTAGAGAGATTATCTGTGATATTGTTTCTCATGACTTGATACTATGAAATAAGAGAAAAGTTCTGTGAATGTTTAAGCTCGGTGGGAGACGGGCCAGCACATGTCTGCAGCTCATAATTATACTGTTTTGTTTCATGACCTCTAAACGTCGAAATATGTATTTTTAGTTCATCCCTCTTGGCTCAGTCAACAGTGTAGTCATCCAAACATGGGCCATTCTCTAAAAGAAATATGCAGTTGCTTGTTTACACAGGCATAGCCAAATTCTTTCTGAAACCACCATATACTCTTGGCTGACATTAGAAAATACATTGTATGGAAACAGGATTCAGGGACCAATATATGTCAAATAAAACCCACTATTATTCTGTTTTTTTCTATCTTATGTTTATATTTGCTTTAAATTTTAACCTAAATAAGGATATGCAGCAAAGCCACATGTCTGACACTTTACAAAATGAGCTTAGTCCTCCAAACAAGCAGTCAAACATAAATGGAAAAGAATATTTAGAGACCATAGGATGCATTCAGCTTTGATGTGCAGCCATTGCTCACAGCCACAGACGGTCATGCAAATCTTGTCAATGCAAACAAACCAACAGGATTTCAAGCCAAGTGCATTTGAAAACAGACGCTCCCCTTTAGCCCGGTGGAATGTGCAAGCTATGGAAATATGGAAAAACTTGCTCGACCCCCCCATTCGCTGTCTGCACAATGGATTTACAAAGACCAACAGAGCTGGCTTTGTATATGGCACATGCCTATGCACGTCACTAATACCGTAAGGGCTACAACACCAGTTTTCATTTATTTTGCACGGACAAAGGATTGTGACTTGTGAGGGCTCTCAAGAAATAAAGACTTGTTTCAGTAGATTTCTTTGTGCTGCCTGGTTTTGACAGAAGCATTTCACCTGTGTTTTGACGGATGACTTCTCCTGGGGTATTCCCAACATAGAGTCAGTTCTATAAACAGGCAGGGGCCTCCCACAGTCACTGTGAACCCCCAACCCTCTAACCATGGCCTCTTTCACCACCAACAACACAGTTGTCAGGGGAGGCTGTTGCCTCAGCTGTGTCAAGTCCAGCTGCACGAGAGCTGCGTTGGGACACTTGGAAGGGACTGTGGACAGTTTCCCAGCTGACTTTGCAGATTTCGTGTTTCACCCAAGATCACAGTTATTGTCTCGTTTGACTTCCAGAGACCTCTGGCTTCACTAGCCCACCCACTTGTACGCGTGAACAGCAGCAACGCATCGAAATGTTTGCAGAAAACCAAAGCACAACTTGGAATAGGGACTTCTGAACGTGATCACGTGTTTTACCCGACTGCTTTCCACTGTGTTATGTGCACATTTTTACTGTATGAGTGTTCATATGGCATTTACGTTCCAGTATAGTAAACTCTACCACACAGGGTATTATGCAATTATAGCGTCCACATAATTTAGGCAAAGAGGTCATTTGAAACTAAAAGCTGTGTATTTGTGGCTGCTCTCCATTTCTCTCAGTTCTATATGGGGAGTTGTGATTATATCGTATTTACCCAACCCCTATACTTTATCTCTCTCTAGCCATTGAATAACCTCTTCCCTGTTGTTTACTGCTCACCAGCCTAATCTGTCATCACTGTCTTCTCTGCAACAGGACTGCAGCGTTTACGAGATGGAGGAAAAGATTCTGGAAGTTGTAAGTATACCGTATCTCTTCTCGTTGCTTCCCATAAGCTCAATGAGCCCCAGAGGTTCCTAAATAGTGGGAAAGCGCCTTTATGTCTTTTTACATAGAGATTGTGTGACATGCTCTCAGCGGCAAGGTCAGTTTTCTGAGTGAAAAGAGCAGACGGGTCTATAGGATCGCAAGCAGAGGAGGCAGCTCTAATACGCCCCTGCCATCAATCAGCGTTTCCTGTTGCTGACACTCTCCAGACTCCGTGGGCAAACACTAGGCTTCCTCCAGCACTCTGTCTCTCTCTTAGAAAACCCAAGTGAAGCCACAGTCGTGCCGTCTTTGTTCTTTCCTTTGTTTCAAAAGGTTTTTCCTGAAGGATTTTCCTGCACTTGTCTTGTTGTAATCTTTTACCCCCTCCTTTTTGCGCCCACTTTTTTTTCTTGTTCTGTTTCTACTTGCATCTTATTTGTCTTTATCTTCATCCTTTCATTGTTCTTTTGTGAGTCTCTCTGTGAGCTCAGATCTACTTAAAGTATACACCAGTGGTTCACAACAAAATGCATGTGCCACAGAAAAGACCCCTCTAATGATGACAAATTACAGTTTTTTGTCCTCATAAGCAAAGGGACAAAGGAGGGGTGTGTGCACGCTGATTTCAGTGTTGTGCGTCCGCGAGTACGTTCAGTTAATAGCACACTAATGGTCCCTCTTAGCCCATTAAGCCTTGCAGTAAACTTAAAAATACACAGACAGAGGCATGTACACAGGAAGAAAAAAAACTGATGAAGGATAAGGTATCTGTGTTATGAATGTCACGAGCAGCAGTGTAACCTGACTAGTTCCAACCTGTAAAAACACACAATAACCGTTCAGGCTATTATAGGAACAAAAGACATCTGAGGATTTAGCACACCGCTTATGATCACAGTGAGAAGTCTATTAAAAGTCTTGTGCTTCCTAATTGGTTCACTGATGCATTTTGTTTTTCCTCTGCAGTCCAAGATTTTGAACAGTATCTGTGATCAGACCGTGAGAACCACCTCTGACCCCCTGATGAGCCAGTCGGCCTGCTTGGAGGAAGTCCAGCTGACCAATATCAATCCAGGCGAGGGTCTGGTGAGGAACGCTATTTGAATTTTTTTCCCCTCTTTGTTCAACCGTAAGCTTGCCCTCCGCTTCTTGGATCTGCTGCCTAGGAATGCACGCAATGTGTGTCAAATTGTGACCCTCACATCTCCCTCATGTCACATTTGTGTCCCTCTGGGAGTATTGTATTTTTACCATAACCATAAGTAAGGTTTTTGTTTTTTTTAACCCAGGGAATGTACATCAAGTCTACTTACGATGGGTTACATGTCATCACTGGAACCACAGAGCATGTAAGTATGTTGATATGCAAACCACAAGAATACATTTAGCCACTCTATGTGCTGGACTTGATTTAGTCACTGTGAGTATGTTTACTCCTAAAAACAAGTTTTTCCTATCGGACCAAAAAAGTAGCCGCTCTCACCCTCCTCTTTATCTTCCTCTTCATTGTCTTCCCACTATACTGAGAGCACTTTCGTATCTGAAGGAGTTAAGAACTGCTCATACGTTCAGGGAATAGTTTATTTCTGTGCTCTACTAACCGGTAAACATCACAAACAGCCTCCACAAAGAGAAGTCCTACCTTTTCCCCGCACTGAGACAACCAGTCGGTGACTAATGCGACAGCATTACCGCCACGGTTGGTTCCTAACGCCTCCGGTCCCTAATTGTGAATCAGGACCTGAATCATCACCAATAATGACTAGTTAATCCTGTTTGGCATCTGTGTGACTTGAAAAACAATGCAACTGATATTCAAAAACAGAGAGAGGCTCTTTCTCACGAATTTGAACTTTGAGTGTTTATCAGGTTTGATTATTGAAAAGGGGAATTTTAAAGGCAGGGTTTAGAGAATAATACGTTTTATAATCTGATCTTGACATTTATTATCTGTGTTTAATCTTTAGTCACCTGCAGACCTGACGAGGAAGATCCATGCAGGTGATGAGGTGATCCAGGTGAACCAGCAGACAGTGGTGAGATTTTATTTTATATTTTATATTTTATTCTCCATATTTACAGAGTGGTGAAATGAGTTGAGTTTCATGTCTGTTCACATCCTGTTAACCAGGTGGGCTGGCAGCTGAAAAACCTGGTTTTCAAACTGAGGGAGGACCCCAAGGGTGTGGTTCTACTCCTTAAGAAGAGGCCCACGGGCACAACAGGTTTCACCCCCGCCCCGCTTAAGAACATGCGCTGGAAGCCCCCAGTACCTCAGGTACATACACACATGCACGCACGCTTTCTTCTCTCTGAAAAGGCAACAAAAACCTGCGCATCTAATCATTGTCAACCAATTATCAGCTTTTTAGGGAGCTGGTTCCAAAGCAGCATGTTCAGACAGAGCCGACCTCACAGCGCTGATATCTAATTTTAATACTACATGGAGTTTTTCTTCATGTAAAACAAAAGAGGCAAAGCTGGCAGACTGCAGTGTCTGAATGTCTGGTATTTTTGGGGAACAAAAGGCCTAAATGTTGCCCTTGAAAGAAAACATTAGGATGCAAAAATGTATTCTGGCTCATATTCTTTTCTTTAATTCGAAAACACCCCAAATTTTGATTGTTCAAAAAGAAAGGTCAAAGGTAGCTAATAGATTCTAGCTCAATAAGGTTATGTGTCTGAAATCCAATTTACTCTTCACCATTATGTGAACTCATTACGCTGAACTTAGCTTTTAACCACATCTCTGCACCTGAGTCGCCTTTTAACGGACAGGAAGGCAATGAGCCCATTGTAAACTTAGACTACCAACATTCAAGCTCTGGCACTGCCTTATCATGCGTAGCTTGTTTCATAGCCTGAGAAGACGAGATGAGATGATAACAGTTAGGAGTGGGCTTGTCAAAACAACAAAGAGGCTCCGAACACAAAGGTGGCCAATGTCAACATGTCCACCAGCATCTTGTTTTAACAGGTAGTCAGGGGTATCAAAGTTAACCATCTCAGTTTATCTATGATAATAAGGCTCCAGACGGTAACACAGAAACAAATCATCCACCCTGACTCAAGGATAAATGACTCTGGCTTTGTAATAGTATATAATTTGTACACATGGGAGCTGTTTGGAAGAGGAAAGCGGGGGAATGATTCATGAAATCCCAGATTGGATGTTTAGTTTTTTTATTAATACATCACATCCACTAGGCTGTATCAACACATGTATCATTCTGCTGTGATGAGAATGTCAGGGAATAGGAGTCATACATTTAGTCAAGGACACCATGTTGTTGGGAAACATATCTGTGGTAAATGAGTACGTGGCTCACAAGCTATTTCAGAGTTCACTTACAATCTTTCCATACCTCAAACAAGGTTTGTACTCGGGGACACACACACACACACACACACAAGCACTTAAATGTCTTACCACATCTGGTGAACTCCTCCCATTTGCAAGCCTGTCATATTTACTCTTAATTTTGGAACTGAAGAAACCAAGCTGTACGCAGAAACAGAAAGCAATGACTTAATTTGTTTTTGACATCTATACATGCTGACAGAAGGAGTTATACTGTGGTGAGTGAGAGGGTATCCACTAATAATTGTGCTGTACATTTTTAGAATAACTCGTCCCTGGTCAGAGCCCAGTCTCCCTGTAGTTCAGCCAACGGATCGACCAAAAAGGAGAAACCAGCCATCCAGGACTTGTACATCCCCCCTCCTCCTCCAGTGCCATACACCCCACGGTGAGCTGTCCTCTTTCTTCTGCAGTACTTATATTTTACTGGGTTTATTTAATTCAGTAAGTTGAGCTCTAAAAGTTAAGAAAGTGAAAAGTTTGAACAGTAAGCCAAGTCAAGGAAGCAGTAGCACGAAAGGTAGAGGCCATCTGCTGCCCTGCAGCGTGAGATCCAGTCGCCCCCGGTCAGCTTTTGCAACACTTCCTAACTCAGGCCTTCGAGGCTGGTGGGTAATGACTGTGCCCCGGGCTCGTGATCGCCTTACCTCTTCCTCCTCCTACTGCACTTTCTGTTCTGCTTTAGCCCACTCTGCTCCCACAAGTCCCGCCACAGTCCTTATGCAACAACTGTTTCATCTTCCACCTCCGGGAAGATGACAAAGTATGGCCGTTTTACTAAAAATGCTGGAGGGCCTGAATTCTAAAAAAGAAGTTTGCAAACTAGTCTTGTTTATTTCATTTGAATTAGACTCCAGCCAACAGAATGACAGTCCTTGCTTACAAATCATCCTGATCGTGATATGCTACTTTATACTGTAGTGTTGTTGAAGGGCTGGTTGAGCTGAAATAACCAAATAAACATTTGTTTCTCCAAGCAGAGAGGTGAGAACAGACTCGTTCTCCAGTATTAGTAAGAGACCAAAGGGCTCTGAGTCACCCAACTCCTTCCTGGACCAGGAGAGCAGAAGACGCTGCACCATCGCGGATTATGACAAGCTAAGCGTTGGCTGCCCCATCGAAGCCAACGTGATACAGCCCAGAATGAGGGAGCACAAGCCTTCCCGTGGTCAGTACTTTCTCATCATTATAAATATCTCACTGACAGATACAGATGACAGAGGAGTGAATGTGTTCCTAAATTAAAACAAACTTTTGTCTTAAGGTAAGCCCCGGCCGCTGTCCATGCCAGCAGATACGTGTGTGGGAGTAGTTGATCCTTACGCTAAGCCCTGGGCACAGGGAAGGAAAGGTGCGTACACACATGCTTTTGCTTTCAGGTTAAGTCTTTGTAAAGTTGTGTTTTTATTCAATTAATCCCACTTGACAGGAAAAACTACAATATAAACACAAAACTACAATATAGTAAAGCACTGCACTTACAATGTCTTAAAAGTCCTGCAGGAGGGAGTTGTTTCTGTGACACTATTCATTGTATAAAAAAGTCTTGTAAGGTAATATAACCAGGAATTTACCTTGTTTACTCCAATTACACATTTTTAAAACCAGATTCATAAAAATAGCATTTTCAGCCATCTTTTGCGGATTTTAGCCAATTACATGTCCATAACATAATCTGCTGGAAAACCATTGGTTCAATGTTCTAAATTAAGTGCTCAACATGCTTCATGTTAGACATAGATAGATGTAGATGTAGATAGAAGAACAAATGCTTTTACCAAATATAAAAACATGAGCAAAATTCACTCACTCTGTTTTTGGTTCTGGTGAAGGCTCAGCTTGTTAATGTGTTGTATTATTGTTTATGTAGAATTTTAACAACAAATGTACAGTAAAAAATTATTTTACTGGGTTGTACTTCATTATTTTTATGTTTCCAGTATGCAGGAAATGACTACTTTGTATCAAACAGTACTTTGCATTTCGTGTCTAATTGCTATATTTTGCCATTACCTCCTATTGGTTGCTTAATAACTTCATCCCTAACAGACTCTGCTGTAGTTTGTAGATGTTGACCTGCCGTTATTACAGAAAGCTGATGAAAAACTTGATTCAAAAGACAAAAACACAACAACCCCAAAACGAAAACTTACCGTCTTGATTTGCCTGATCTTGTGCTGCAGATGTAGCTGGTCAAACAACAAATGGTCAGAATGTTCAACCGTAGCTAAACATGCTACATTAACGCAAACACAGCGTTCTCTTCTATTACTGCTCATGATAAACTAACTCGTCGCCGTCTCTCTGCTTTAGGTGAAGACCTCCTGTACAGGTACCTGAGTAATGAGCGCATCCCCACCATCGCTGAGGAGGTCCCCTCCGTGTCCCCGCCCTACAGGCCTGCAGGGGAACGCCACCTCGTCCGGGTGGACCACATCCGGGGCAGCCGCTACTACTCCAACTCAGACCTCCACAACAGCGCCACCATCCCCTACCAGGAAGACATCAAAAAGGCCCCCGTAGCCCCCATCTCCAAGCGCACGTCGGCAGAACGCTCACTACTGGTCAGTTGGATCACGCGGCTTAAGCTATTGACTCACTGATGATGTGCTTCTTGTCCGGGGCTTCCTGTCCCTGTCTTGTGTCCTTCCTCAGTGCCTTTGATATTTAACGTCCAGCTGTTTTTTTTGGCAGCTTCGGGCTTTCTCACACTCCTCTCTACCCCAACCTCCATATTTTTCCCTGGTGTTACTACTACTACCAACTACTACTACTCCTCAACCCAACTTGCTTTTGTAGTGCTCACTACATTAAGTCATCACCCCTTTAACACTGCCCACAACCCTCACCTCTGACTACAAGCCTCAAGAAGATACCGCTTGTTCAGGTTTAGGACACTTTTGGCCTTGTGTGCTGCTTACGGACTCCTCTGTACATATTAAGTTATACCATGTTTCCGTTACGATGTTCTCCGGTACTCGAGGTTTCAGACGCCGAAGTTCTCAAAAAAAAAAACTTGCCTGATATCACTTCAGCTATGTGCTTCTTTGGTTTTCATTTACATAAAATAAAACACAGTGAAACAAACAGCATATACTTGTTAGCGAAACTGCTTTTATTTTGATGTTTTCTTTGTACATTTTTGTGATCAGTTAGTTCCATTACCGTCTTGCCAATGGTTGCCTCTTGTAAGCTATGCATTTTTATGGTCACTTAAGTTGACAATGCTGCATTGGTTGGTAAAAGGGTGTTTATATCTTGTCACTAGCAAATATTTGTGCATGTTTTAAAGCTATGCACTCTATTCAGTAAACTTTATATCCTGTGTTTCAGTTTACTCTGCAATTACCCACCAAGAGGGGCCTATACATACAGCTGGTTGACAGTAATAACTGGTCTGTTAAAGCCAGTATTTGAACCAATCTTTTTAGGACACACAGGTCGAACGGCCTTCTGTTAGCTCATGCTATGGAAAGACCACAGATCACAAGAGACAGAATGACAGTATTATTTAAGAAACTACAGGGAAGAAGTGTCTATTGTTGCTTTATCTGCCTTTTTGTAAGATTTGAATAGCGTTTTATTAAAAATTGCGGTTCATTTCAGTGAACTTTTGTATTGTCTTTATTTTACCGGTGCGTGTGGAATGACTGCTAAATGTGTAATGTAGCGTTGGGGTGGGGGGGATGACTACTCTTTCAGAAAACGACATTTCAGAACTTCTAGTATCATCCTTAAAATGACATATTTTTATTAGAACAATTTGCGATGGGGAAGGGCAGCTATGAATTTCCTCTCCTGGGCTGAATTCAGAACCAAACTGCCGTCTGTCTAACCTGCTCTGACCTTTGAGGTAAACCCCTGCTTCTGTTTTTAAAGCATGTGGCGAAACTGGATAGCTCATGTCAAGTTACCTTTTCTGTGTATCTCACATGGTGATGCTTATGCAACTACATCCCTCTTTGATGAACTTTAAATTCCAGCTGGGCGACCATATGGTCAAAGCAGGTTTTCCAACAGGGGGATCTTTTTCCTGCACATATGTTGCCTTTTAAACATTTAAACGGCAGGTTAGGATTACCTTTCCTTTCTGCTGTTTTCATTGATTCGAAGAAGCGTTTCCCTTCGGAAGGATCAGCGCCTCTCATCACGGAACCGAAGATCCAACTGCTATCCAGACCGACCCACCGCTCTCACCTCTTTCCCCTTTTTTTTGCCTGTTTCTCTCTCTGCATGTATTCGCTGGTTGAGAGGAGCCTTGTTTTTTTTCTTCTTATCTTTCCGTCACTTCTTCATCCCTGTGTCTTGCTCTGCCCAAGCTTGCTGAGCTGTAGTCGCCTGCGGTCCTCACTAATTTGCACTTTCTGAAAAGCTGTGGTCTGGCTAAATACTACCTGCACTCTGTTTAACCCACTGCATAAGTCTGCTAACCACTAACATTTTATGCCTGCACATCACAAATGGTTACAAGAGAATGAAACGCCGAATTATTGCTAGTTTGTGCATGTAGAAAACAAAGTGTGTTTTGTCGAATAACCACTATTTTTTGTTGTTGTTGTTGTTGTCCCTAGTCAGTATGCGGATGCGATGAATGTTTTGTTCCTTATTTGTTTTTCCCCCAATTTATTTTCACATGACACAGAATCACATTAAAGATCAGCTATCACATGCTATTATAGTATTAAGTATAATTTAGTTGGTAAAACACTGCAGCTTTACAGTAAACATTCGAGTAGAACACAAATCCTCACTATGACTTCTGCAAAATAGTCACAAAATAAAGCAGCATTGATTTAAATTTAAAAAAAGAAGAAGCTGTGAAGCTTTGTTAGTGTATCTCAGTTAAATTGAGGTTTTTAGAACACATGCGTTAACACATAAATCTTTATGTATCACAGGGACCAGACTGGCACTCTAGCAGTGACTTCCTCAACCGGTGAGTTCCTCTCTCGCTCTCTCACACACACACACACACACACACACAGACACACACACACACATAATCTACAGTTGTCCTCCAATGTATTCATGCCCTCTCATTAAAGAAGGAAAAAAAACACTGAAATAAGTTGAAATTGACAAAAGTAATGATAAATAAAAATTTTATGAAAATCATGGCGCTGCTTTTGAATTGTGGTTCAACTGAAATTTTTTTTTTTTTAAAACAAAAAAAAAAACTCAACAAAAAACAAGAAAACAAGCATGATGGGACCCGTAAACTAATATTTAGTTGAACAACCCTTTGAGCCAATCACTGCCATCAGGTGTTTTCTGTAACTCTCAATCAGACTTCTGCACCTGTTGACAGGTATTTTGATTTCACTGCTCATCAGCAAAGTGCTCTCATTTGACAGTTTTGTTTGTTTTTTTAAACTATTCTTTTCAACCAAAATTCAAAAGCAATGTCTTATTTCACTAAATTACAATTCAGCAAATTTTTATTTATTATTACTTTTTCAGTTTCTAGTTATTTCAGTGACTAGAATTGTGATATTTGCCTTTTCTTTAATGGAAGGGTATGAATAAATGAGGACGACTGTACACACATACACACAGTGTCATGAAGTCTGTAGGTCAAATGAGAAACATAAGCGCAGGGCGGGTCTACTTTTCCAGCAGGGCGTGGAATCTGTTTAAAACAAGCCACGGGGTGCAGGGTCAGTGGGTGGGCTGCTTTTATGATCGGGGGGAAAATATGCCATATCCATGACAGAGAGATGCAAACAGAGGCAGCAGCAGCAGTTTGGGGGTGAAACAGTCTTAGCAAACCTCTTTACAGTCATCTCTCTGAGCGCTCCAAATGAGACTTTTCCCTCTTTTGAATGCTAAATCAATTTGGAGCTTTTATTAAATGAACATTTGTGTGCTATTTTTAACCACAGTTGTCTCTGCGGCCCTCCAGTTTCCAGTATGTCCCACATAACAATGTGTTCATCCACCCCCGAGACACCTTTGCATCATAGACTGTGCCGGGGAATCTTTAGAAATGTCACTGTTATGACAAATCCTGCGTCCTATTGGGACTATAAATAACCTCATCCCACTGCGAAATATGATGACACGCGAGGATCGCTGTTCCGTAGCCCCGGTATCTCTTCTGGTCTTGGATGCAGGTCCTGAGGAGGTGTGACTCCCCACATTAACGCCGCTATCGATGACTAAATGCCTCGCACGATGCCCCCACCCAGCCCTCCCCGGCGCTTCTATTCTAAGAGTTGCACACAAGCACATCACATCCGGTTTACTGCACGCCTGATCACAACACATTACTCACATTTAGAATATATGGACAGACGCGGTAGTAAATCTGGTGGATAAGCGGCCGACTCATTTCTGGTGGCGGCTACCGAACATGTGGCGCTGATGCAGGAAATAGAATTTGACTGACAGTGGATTTAATCAGGTGTCATATTAATTTTGGCCGTTGAGTCTGTGAAAACAAACCTGTTTCTCTCATGACAAAGCATAAAATGTAATGGTGCATTAGTTTTCTCTCTACGTCACTTGTCAAAACCATCATTATGGAGTCGCAGGAGAAAAAAAATCATCGGTATGTCTCTTTGCAAAGTAGTAATTTAAGGAGGAGACGGGAAGATTTATGGATGACAGGAGGAAAAAAAAACGGTAACAAACCAAAGGCAAGAAAAAAAAAAAAAAAAAAAAAGAGCCAGAGACAATTTCATACCCTAAAATTGCAGGGTGAGGCCTGAGCTGAGGTAAATTGAGTATTCTGAGCATTGGGAACAAGCTTCTTGTCTGCCATGCTGCAGTGGCTGGTTTCCAAAAAGTATTATCTGAACCACTGACATAACAACTAAATGCCAACCCCGAAACAGTCTCCATGAACTCTGTTTGGTTCAAATCAAAGTTAGCCGGATTGGAACACAGATAAAGATAATGGGTGGTTATGAGGAAGCTGGATAGCAATAAGTATGTGTTTTTTTAAAAGACACTGATCTGATCTAAAGTATGATGATGTTAGTGAAACATCTTGGTGTGTGAGATAAGTTTACTGTGGAGTACGACTTTTAATCCACAAATGTGCTGACTTCTGTTGTCTCTCTTCGTCTCACAGGTACAATCAACCACATATACGATCCTGGTCGTTCTCGCAAGCAGTAAGTAACTTCAGCCCCTCTGACTGAACAAAATCTGAAGTGTATGCAGTAACACAGTCTGTGACAGCACCTGCGTACGTCTGTGTGTGTTTGCTGCGTCCGCTGTGCAATGTGAGGAATGCCGCTGGCCGCTCAGCCTTGGCAAGAGGCGGTGAAACGGAGAGCCTCAATTACGGTGCCATTACAGTTCACACAGATAAGACTACATACACGCTTCCTCTGTCACGCACAAATCACCGGACCGGTATGCAGAAATGCAACCTGCAGATCATGTTTAATATGTGAAAAGCCTTCAGTGACAAACAGGCCTTTGCAAGTCTGAATCTGCACCGTGAAACTCTTACTTTTTAGTCAGTGCCGTAGCTCTTGGGATGGCAGCCATACCGAAATAATCTCAACAACACATGCATTGTCCCGAGAGGATTAATCTGAATGACTGTGGTAATCCCTGGATTTTTCCTGTAGCTCCCAAATGAAGTGGAAATTTTGGATTTAACAATTCAATGTAACTGTCAAATGGTCAACTTTAAACAGATATTGTAACCAGTAACTTTACATCTTGTGCTATCAACAGGTTAAGTTTGTTATTTCATTGTAAGCCTAAGCTTTACTTTGTTAGCGTGCTAATATGCTAAACTACAATGCTAAATACCAGCATGTCACTGGCTTGTTAGCATAAAGTACGGCCTTCCACAGCTGCAAGCATGGCTGTAGTCTTTGTTCTTTGTTGTTGTTGGACATCCTGCTCATGGTGAACTGATCATGCACCGACTACCTTTGGCAAATGTGGAAATGCAGTGATCAAAATGGTAAACTGATGAACATTTTTTTCAGAATCCGTACACCACGGGACGGTAGCGTGAGTTACCGTCAATCCCTCAGTGGTACCTACACCTTCCCAGGGGTCAGATGGATTAGGCACACAGTCAGCGGTGGCAAGTGAACGAATCACATTTGCACAGATTTATGGCGCAATTCCGACGTGTTGTTGCACAAAACAAGAAAACCTTGACCTTTGTGTCAGCGTTTATAATAGAGACCAGAGTGTGTAGGATGCTGCCAGTGGCTTGAGAGGAAGCTAATTTATTTCAAACCAAATCTTATTTTACTGTTAATTAATTGTAGTGTTTAGACCTATATGGACTAAATCTAAGCTGAGGTCATGATGAGTGCCGGGTCAGGCAGGCAGATACCAGCAGCAGGCCAGGGCCATGCAGCGCCACCAAACTGAGCAGAATCTGATATCATTTCCACCCTTCCCCCTTTTTACACTGTGTGAGATTCCCCTGCTGAATAATAGCTACTCTGTCTGCCTCTCCTCTCTCATTTCTCTTCCTCACACACACACACACACACACACACACACATACGCTCGGTTTCTGGGTGGGTAGGTGGGCGGGTGGGGGCTATTAACTAAGTGCCATGACAATTCTCAGCATGGATCGTGATGGGAGATTGAGCGCTACAATGGTGTGACCAATCTGCATTGCCGTGAATCCTCGAGGCCTTTGACATGAGTCGCAGGCAGGATTACCTCACTTCCACCGAGGCACGGCTACGGCAAAATGCCCATTTAAATCACCCCAAAGTGGCACGCCGGGGGGGTTTTCCCCTCATCGCAGAAATGAGAAGAGCGCGGATTGTGAAATATTCCATTTGGGTTCAACACGTTTAATTGAAATGTTAAAGGCTTTCGGGGGGTAACACAAGGATGTTATGGATGAGAAAGACAGGGTGACAAATGGGAGGGGAGGCAAAGAGGAAGTGTGAGAGAGATATAAAGGGAGGGAGGAGGAGGGGGTCTCTTCATGGTCACTCCAAACCACTCGCTGCAGCACAATAGCAAGTGGAAAAAGAGAAGAGGCCCCTTTCTATTTAAGTAGAAATGAAACGGAGACTATAATAACGCAGGAATGTGTCTGCTGGTTTACCACCATCCCGGCACAGGCAGACAGAACATCCGAGCCTCTGCGCAGCTCGAGCAGTGATGTTATGGCTGCAGACCCGCTTCCCACTGAGGCAGCGAGGGGTGTTGATAGCCAAGGACACGGTTTCTCCAAGCTGTGAGTGGACTGTGTAACATGAAACACTTTATTTTTTTACCTTCTTCCTCTTGAAGGCAGCCGTTGGTGTTTTATTTTCAGCTTCTATCAAAGCAATAGAAGAAGAAAGAGTAGCATTCATCTGGCTGGGTCACGACCTTCACCCTTCTTTCACATTCACGACAGAAGAAACTTATACAGTAGGTGCACAATGTGAGGTGCATTTAGGTGTCCAGCAGCTGTTTGAAATGCTGATGTTCAGAAGGACTTTTTGAAGATCAAGTATTCAGAAGAGGAGGACTCAGTCAAGTCTAAATGACACTCGTGCAAATTTGCTTTCATCCTACAGACAGTATTTTGTCCACAAGGACTAACAATGGGGATTAAACTACTGAAGGAACACCCATCGTAGCTCAACATTAACTTATTTCTTCTCAAAACATTATTATTTATGTAATTATACAATCATGCACTGAAAAGATCATTTAGCATCTTTTAAGTCTGGTGTTATTTCGCTTTCAGTAATCTGAAGTAAATATTATTCATCAATGCCAAATCCAGCTAATATTGACCTACATGTCGTTGTTGCCTAAAAACCCAAAACGGATGTTATCCAAAGACATGTATTGTGGAAGAATTACATCCAAATTCATCTTGGAGGGCTGAGAAACAGAGAAAAACTTCCTCAAATCTTTCCCCACATTTACACCATGTTGTGATCCTCTGACTGCATTTAGTTTGATTTTGTACAACAAAACTTACATTTTTAATCCGATAGCCATAAAGTGTTTTATCAGGAAATTTAATGTTGTATTTCTGACGTTGAATAATATTTTATTTTCGGAAGAGCAGTTGACAGAGCACATAAAATGATCTACCTTCCCTGGTAGTGTGTGACTTTAACCATATTCAGGACTTTTGGGGTCTTTTGGACCCCAGGCCATTTGGTTTAGGTGACATATTGTTTTTTTTTTTTTATTATTATTTTGGAAGACTTTTTTTTAAACATAAAAAGAGGGACATTTGTCATGCATTGGGAACCAAAAATACATCAACATATCAGAAAATTTATGTAACATAGTGTAAAAGCACAAACAAATATTTTGCACATGTTCTTTCTTGGGATCCAATGGACAAAAAGCCCTTCAATGTATGGAACATGGAAGTCCTGAATAAGGGTTAACTTGGCACCCGATTCAAACATGAGCTCAATAAATAGTTCCTTCTATAAAGCGGAACAGGCAGGATTAGATGTCTAAATACTGCTCACCCAAACACTTACTTCTAAAAGCACTAATCACTACAGAAACAGACAACAATGATATTAAGTCAATAGGAGCAAAATGACTGACAAAGTCATGAAAATTTTTGAATTATAGAATAAAACACCTGTGAGATGTGTGTTTTTTTTGTTTTTTTTTAAATGTGGATCTGGAGTAAATAAATCGGGACAGGATGTAGATTAATGAGATAAGCTATAAAAGGAGCATCAGTGTGTTTCAGTAACAGAGGACGTCTCTGTGCTCTGAGATGTTGTTTATGGTTCATGAGGTTTTCACACAGCGGGGACTTAGCGACACCCAGCGGCCAAGCGCGGGAACTGCGAGTGCTTTCTGAGAGAAACTGTCAAATTTAGCAGAATGTAACATTAAAAAAATGCCAAAAAATATCAAATTTGTAGCCGCGATAAGCAAAAAATAAATTAGTAAAATATGCCTTTTCAGTTTTTATTACTCAGCCTTGAGTTTGCTCGGTACCTCTCTGAAATGTGGAAGCGACCACTCACGGAGGACCTGAGCTCACCTGAAACCAGGCGAGCTGTCAGTGGGTTTCCTCCTGGTCTTTGTCACGACATGCTCTCTGAAGTTTGGCCAGACTCTGAGCAGAGATTTCAGGCCAAACTGCTTTCGTTGAGGTTGTGGTGGAAGGTACCGTTTATCTTTTATTAGAAACGTGTCGGACTTCAAGGAAAGTGACTGTTTACTTTCTCTTGCTAGCTAAAACCTCCAAACTACGAAGAAGCTAACGGCTAACTGATGCTAATACTGTTTGTTGTAATTAAATTACAGGTTGAAGTGTTGCGTTTTGGGAAGAAATTTAGTTATTTTTACGTTTAAAAAATACATTCAAAAAAGAACCTGTAGTACAATTTGCTTGTCAACACTTGTTCTTGTATAAATCTGTTGTTTGTGGACATATTTCACCAGTTATTTGTGTTTTAATGATAAGCATTTGACTGACTTTTGCACTAATTTTGCATTTTTATTTGGGAAAGTGAGGACATTTTGCCATTTTATGTGCCATATTTCATCCTCCTGTGCCACACTAACTTACTACTAGTCTTATTTTTGTTTACTTATTTTTATTTTTTTACTAATGTGCCATATTTCTATCTTATTGCTTTGGCACTGTTTTGTACTCTGGTGTTGTTTAGATTTTTTTCTGGGCCATATCTGACTCCAGATTTGGCTTGAGGATCAATAAAGTTCTATCTTATTTCATCTTATCTTAAAATTTTTATTCCTAACCCAACAACCTCTCCTACTTCTGAGGAGACAAAACTACCACTCGTTCATGCACGAAGCTGCCGACTGAAGCTACAAAGGTGAACGGAAAAAGGTGGCAAGCGTACTATAGATAGGCTTATTCAGTGTGAATCTCACATCTTGAGCTACAGTCACCGCGTGACATCTGCGAGAGGGGAAGTTAGTTACTAAACATGTATAGACACTCTCAGTCAGGCTTGTGCTGTGGTTTCTGTGGTGATCATGAGCAGCTCCCCACTGGCAGCCAGTGAACTCAAACACCCGGAAAACAGGCCGTGATGCATTCGTGTTATGCAAGAAAAGAAGCACGCACATTCACATGTACACTAATACGTGGAAAGTCAGTTCGCATAAGAGCTTCTGGATTGCTGTCAGTCAGTGTGCTTTTGTAGTCCCTAAGCTAAGGTGCTTGGACTTGAAGTGAACCGGTAAAAGATTTAAACAACCAGGTATGACATTTCCTTTTTCTTACTTGCGCTGGAGACGTGTGTAGATTTGAGTGTGTGGTGTGAGTGATTGAACAACTGCAGATGGTTTCAGGACCCTGTGACCAACCCACCACCAGGGTTTTTTTTCTCCACAGTTTCTGAAGCTCAATCTGACGGGGTGATGTGTCGAGGTTCTACAAAGAAGAGATTATGGGGGGAGATGTTTTAGCTCTGCCGAAGTCATCCACAGTGTTTGAAAGTGTTATGAAAGAGTTTGCAGCGGTGACTTTACAAATAAGGAACTCAAAAACGCAGAGGAAGTTAGTCAATAATGGCAACTTGGATTTCTCTCTGTTGATTTAAGGGTGTTAAATTGCAAAGTGAAATGTTGCGCAGTTGGTTTTTTTCTTTTTCTCTGTTGCTAAAAAAAACAACCCATTTTTGTGATACTGCAAAAAGAATTCTGTGAGATCAGATATCTTCAGATATTTGTGTCATAGGGTAAATGAAACTGCTGACCGGTGCAACACTGAAGCTGTGAGTCAGTGCTGCTCATGTGCATTAACTCATAAGGATTTCTCTAACTTCCAGTTTCACAGATGGAGAAATGTCCATTTTCAATTTACATGTGTGCTGTTGTTGTTTTTCATTCCACAAAACCAGGAGGAAAAAAAAAAAAGTTAATTGAGAAACATTGGCTGTTCTGTTGGCCCATGACGCCACTTCCTCTTGTCATACCAGAGGCAGAAGTGTTCCCATTTATCTGCGGGTTGTAATATTGTCAACCTACACATCTGTGGCTAAAGTGTTTCTTCTGGTTTCTTCCAACAGGCTGCATTTCCCATATCTGTGGCTCCTTCTATGGCTGCCGATGACTACAACCCTGTAAGTGTTTCTAGTTTTTTTTTTTCTTTTTTTTTGTAATGCGACATTCACCGAGGTAGAAAATCCTTTTTACGTGCGAAGTACTTCTGCTTCTCCAATTTTTACGATGGACAAATTAAATATTTAACAAGGCTGTATACTTCCTCAGGTAGATAAGGAGGCTGTTGACTAGTTTGTTTAAAGCAGAAGACACCAAAGAGATAGAAAGCGCAAGGCAGAAAGTCAGCCGAGAGGTTTCAGAGGGTGTTAATCTGCGTGTAGATAGAAGGAGAACAGAAGAGAGAAAATGCATGTGACACTCAGTACGAGAAACAGGATGTTCCGGACAGCCTTCTCTTCTGAGCCGTGGGGTCTGAGGCTGCTGATTTTCTCATCTCGTCTCCTGCCTCTGACTCTCTGACCTCCCGTTGTCCTCTTCCTCTGCTCTCCCTCTGCTCTCCCTCCCAAAGGTCTCCCTCCGACACAAATCCAAGAAGAAGAGTCGAGGAGGTAAGTCAGCTCCCATCACTTTGTCTTTGTGTGTGTCCCCCCGCAACTGTAATTTGGACCCTCGGTGGGCGTGTGTCGAGTGGCAGGACAATTAGTGTGTACAGAGGGTTTTTAGTAGGCGGCGGGTTACTTTCACTTCACTTCTTTTCTCGTTTGCTCATCTTTGGTAGCATCTAGGAGTCTTCTGAGAAGCTAAGCTTAGTTTGTTGTTATTCCTGAGTGATTCATAAGCAGGTAGGCTGAATATAGAACAGCACTTGTGATCTGACTTGTTGTGGATATTGTGTGGGTTTGCCCAGTGGTATTTTTAGACTTCATTTGATTGTTGATCAAACGCCGTGGCCTATTTTCACTCTAATGGAAACGTTTTGTGTTGTTTGCGTTCGCATGTTAGACTGCAACTTTTTGCTTCCTCTAATGCTCATACATGACTGCGGCTCTTGTTTCTCTGTGGACAGAAGGGGCGGCGGTCTAAAACCATATGTGTGTGTTTTCTGTGCATAGGCAATGGCACAATGAGCAGAAGACGGATCTCGGTCAAAGAGCTGGGTCAGTCAGACCACCAGGGCTGGCTGTACAGGAAGAAAGAAAGCAAGGGCTTCCTGGGTATCAAATGGAAGAAGTACTGGTTTGTGCTGAAGAAGACGGCTCTCTACTGGTACAGCAACCATCTGGTGAGTAAAATCCCCTTTTATGTTTCAACTCCCAGCATGTTTCCATTCATACAGATGGTATTCAGGTGCACAAACCCTGAGCTAAACATTTAACGAATAAGTTCCTCGTTAGTCTCTCTTAATTTCCCTCTTGTGCAGGTTCTCAACATCTGTGTTTGATTAAACCAGATATGCTTTAACAATGCTGAGCATCATATCAGAAAAGAGATCATTAGAATAACACTGTAAAGGATTTGACAGGAGGTTTGTCAAGTTTCCTGTCTCTTTCTTTTGGTTTACCAACATGCTTCAGCATATCTGATTTGGTATGTTCTGTCTCTCTCTCTCTCTTTGGTGCTTTTTAAAAAAAAATAAGGCTCCTCATTTTTTATGTTGTTGTTAATGTCAACAAAAGCCATGTAAAGATCAGAACCAGCGATGGCTCCCCCAGCGTGTCGAGTCATGAATACGTAGTCTCATATTTAAAAGAAAAAGGTTCATTCATGTCTTTAGACTCCTGGCTGCTGTAGTTTGATATCACCTTCTTGGCACCATTTTCAGTTGCGTATCTGATTCTGTAGTGATCATTTACCGCAGCAGGATGGTGTTAGCGGCTCAAAACACCATACACATTTTTATCATTATGATGGAACATGTGTGCATCTTGCAATTAGTGTGGTTTGATGCATTTTAATAGTTTTAGCCGCTTAACAGAATCAAGCAAGTGTCAGTTTTCATGGACTTTAACAATATGATAAATAATGAATAATTTTGACTGATCCTTTGAATTTTCTGTCATTTGTCGTTTAATTAAACATGATTAAAACTGTGCTTAAATCTTTAACCTTAAACAAAAATCACACCTGTATCTGTTGCAGTCATACATTGGCTGTAACCTAAAAACAATAATAATATTAGAACGAGAGATTTTTCTCTTAGAGGAAATGTTTTT